GGTGATAGATAATTTTAAGCTATAGAAATATAACACCGCGAGTTTAGTGTATACTACCATAAAAAAATTAGCACTCAGTTACAAGACGACTATGAATAATAAAGCTGCTGTCTACCTCCAGCACTCCAAATAAGCAACAACAAGAATGATCATGCTCAAATAACAATCTACCCGACATCGAATACCGACTGAACTACACCGATGAATATCGTAACTACATTCTGACAGATGTTCAATGTCTAGGTAGAAAAAAGAAAAAATCTGTATCTCAATACTCAAGTCTTTCATTTGTCTTTTTATTAACCACTGCACAAGAGAATCAAACAGCTTCTAATGTGTTGTTTAGTTGAATGACGATTAAACAAATAAAAAAAAACGTTGAATAATCAATCGACTAATACGTTAAAAACAGATGTGTTGACTGGTGTATCCTTTGCTTTTCTCACACTTAGTGTTTCATGTCTGGATACTGTAAGTATTTGAACGTCTTATTAATAAATATTCGCTGACAACTGATCATCGGAACTAATATTATCATGTGATCGCTTAGATCTTCTCTCAATATTGCTTCATCTGTCGCTGCTGCTGCCACGGTAGATATAACGTTCTGCTCACATTTGTTTAACCGAGAAACTGAACTCTAGTATATGTGTCTGTGTGTCGCGTCCTCACTGAAGACGGAAGCCCTATAATAGAAAAGATAAACAAAAAAAAAAGACGGCCGTATGAGGAAATATTCTCTTTAGATATTTCAGGTATCTAATTTAAAACCTGAATATGTTTGACCTGCCTGGTATGAGTTTCTTGTATGACGATCTCTTCGTTAATATAACAATTATATAAGCGCATAATAATATAAGAAAATATTTGCATTCACACACAAACAAACTTACACTTCGCTCGATCGACCACTGCTACAAAACAAGAACAATCAGATTAAGTATAATGTTCCAATTAGAATAATTAATCCTATTACCTATTAGTTTCCAGGTACACCCAAGTGGCAATGTAACTCGAAAACAGGTATGTCATACGATTGTATCTATAATAAAAAAGTATCGATAAATTCAATCAGATGATTTGTATAATTTCGGGTGTCAAGAAATTATTTACATAGAACCGTATAAAAATTTGACACTTCCACTGTTGATACCGCGACCAAAAAAAAGCTTTACATTCTGGTTACGTATGCTGAAACACTTATGCTAAGAAAAATTTGAAATTCTTTTAAAGTTGCAGTTGAAAAATCAAACAACTTTTGATATGCATGTCTTTAGCAGCTGCAACTTACAAACTATAAACAATCAAATATGCAGATCCTAAGGGGAACTGGTTCAGGGATCCGAGAGATCTACTGACGATCTGTAAAGCTTTTTTATTTTCGCTGATTTTCTGAACTTTTTCCACATTCCAAAGTAGAGTCAGTTGCGAAACAACATCAGAAACAATCGTACGTAACGTTTGATCTGAGTTGTATCAGAAACCAAACGTAAGAACACTTATGAAATCATCGTTTGAGTATGGGCGCAGCATACCTAATTACAATAATACTTTTAAATGCCAAAATCCATTCTTTAACTTTCTAGTCATATAATTATTGACTAAATCGATGTATCTACTATTGCATGTTACTTGAATCTGCAGTTTGTAAAGACGAAGATACATGATAGATACTTAAAGTAATAAAGTTCTGAAACAAAAATAACAAACTTACTAAAAAATTTTCAAGTAAATGAATTCTACGAACAGTAGTGAAATATAATAGCGAAAACAATTTAGACCAACTCAATACAGTGCTAGTAATATCGGAATTGACTAAAATATTCTCATGTTTTTGCTATATACTCACATGTACACCGATATTGGAAAATTTGCTAGATACGTTCACCTCATAAAGTTGATTTCAACGTATTTCTATACGTGAAAATTTTTTAATACAAATGAGCAATAGGGAATAGGAACATAGTCACAAACTCTTTTTCTTGTGTGTGTTATACGTCCATTTGGCATCAAGAGAAAAATGGAGTTTGAATGAATGTCAGTCACATATATTTGTTAAAAGTAGTGACTGTATTCATCAGAATAGAAACAAACAGAAAAAAATTATATTTTCTCTTCGTTTGAGACCTCCACATGTAAAAAACGCGACGTTCTTGCCACAAGAGAAAAGAAGGCAACATATAATTGTTTTTTTTTACTGTTCATAACGTTGAGAAGAAAAGAGAAAAATTTAAAGGCTGAATGATGTTGAATTCTGCGTCAACTGCTTGGTAGTGGATGATGAAGAGGATAAGAGCATTTTAGAACTGACTGATTAAACCATCCAATAGATGAAAATCTCGAGTGACGCCCGTTTCAGTTTATTACAAAAAAAAGGACCGAGACCGACTGCCGCTATGGAGAACGACACCGATATCAAATAGATGGAGCCACTATATATATACAGTGGTTAAGAGCTGTAAAAGTAATAAAATATACGAAGGAAGAATTTTGCTTTTGTACGATTCGAACCCAGTGATAAAATGCTATCCAAATTATTTGAGTCTAAATAATATAAAATTCAACGTTTTTTTTATACGCTGCGTATTCTTTTATCGAACATTTACCCAGTATAGCCATCATTCAGCTCTCTTCCATTATATTACGGATCATAGAAAATTAATCAAAGCATACATTTACAGCTAAATATAGTTTTGAAAAAATAATTTATCCTCTTGTTTTTTTTTTCATTTATTTATTCAAATGAAGAAAACGAAAAAAACGAAGCACAATTTCACGTAAATATTCTCAAATAGCTTTTGTAAAAAGCAAAAAAGAAAAAAAAAGAACGTAAATGTAAAAATCGAGACAGATATATAGATGATTTCATTTTATCCAAGAGACAAACAGATATAGTGATAACGATTACATAATAAGAGCGAAATGAGGAAAGGGTTCGGTAAAAGAGAACAAAGAATTTAAAAAAACAAACAACCAAACAAAAACGTTCATGTATATATGCTAAAGAACATCAGTAATAAGAATAATATGATTATGATATATATATATGTATATATATAGGTTAAAGTAGCAACTAACCAAGTTCAAAGATAAAAGCGAACAAAAAAAAGACGAACAAATTACAGTTCAGAATCGAAATTAAGAATGACTAAATCCATTTCTTCTTCTCATACACACGCACGCTAATTCGAATTGAATATATATAGACCGAACACAAAAAAAAAAAAGTACAAAAAGAAACCAGAAATCAATACATCTTGCATAGTACACGAGAAGAGAAACCAAAGAAACAAACAATAAAATATAGTTCTTACATGTTCTTTTTTTTTCTTTCCATAAAATAAAAAAATATTTACGAACAAAAGGAACAATCACTTTTCAAGACTAGATAATAGTAGAAGAAGAAGAAGAGAAAAATCAATCAATTAATCATCGTATTTCATTTTCAGATTCTACAAATAATAGTTTTTCTAAGGAAAGAAAACAGGAACTTATCGTGCAAAAACAAAAGAAGCAACCGGGAATTAAGGTGGGAAATTGGGAAAGGGATTTAATAGATTTTCTGTCAGCTAGTACCATACACCGGATATCGAGAATGTAATTCCATAGTGCTGTAAACTCTTTCCTTTTCTAACTTATGTACAGACTAAGTTGATGGATATAGAAAAAAAGGCAATAATGATTAGGATATAGCAACAGCACCATTAAGTTAAAAAATATAAACGCCACAAAAAACATTTTCACATAATACGATGGACGAAAGTGAAATACTTATTGTTGATTCTTGTACTGTAAAGACATTCAGTACATGATATTTTTCGAACTAAAATATGCACTATCTCTCTTTATGCTGTTCCTGTGCTGTCACCGGCAAGTAAACAAGAAACAATCGCTACTGACTTAGAGAACAGATACAATTAAAAAAAATACGCTCTTATTTCTTGCTTTAGCCTGGAAAAGAAATAAGATCATCGTTTTTTGTCAACAAAATACTGCGTAAATAAAATACAAACATTCTGTCTTCTCTTTTTCAATTAAAAGAAAAAAACAAAACCACTGTTCATAAAATCCTTTCGCACCGTTTTCTTGAGGTGTTTTGTTCTTCACAAATGAAGGAAAAAACATACATAGAAAAAAATAGAATGACCAATGAAAAGAAAACAATTGAAAGAAAATAATCGAAGCCATTCAAATTACATCCGATGATAACTATTGACAAAAAATACTGTTCTCCAAAAAATTCATGTACAGTACTGTTTAAGCAAAAAATGACAAAGAGAAAAGAACGGCGAATTAGTTGAGCAAAATAGTTTCATCTATTCTGTGTGTGTGTGTGTGTATGTGCGTATATCGAGAAGAGAAGTCGTAGAAAAAAACTGAAACCAATGAAAGAAACGAAAACCCTCCCGATATTAGAGGAAAAACAAATAAACACATTATATTTTTTCCGTATTGCGTTTGGCCTTATATGTTAAGAAAGCATACAATTTGGGCCCAAAGAAGAAAAGTAAACTAGACAGATAAAGATTTATACTCTGTTCGTTTTATGTTTATAATGCACTTGTAGAAAAGAGAAAATGACAAAACGCTTTTAGTCCGTGTATCCTACAACATCACTTTTTTCATTCGTATTTAGTACCGATGATGATGATGAATCAAGTACGCCAGGTGAGGGTATTCCAGTTGAAGATGATGTTGTTTCCACATCGGACATAGGATCGGCTGGTAACGGAGGCGATAAGCTAGCATTGATACCTGTTGATAAACGCTGATGTGATAATTCAAGGATATTTGTATTTTTACTACTACTACTACTGCGACGTCTATTAAGTGCTGAAATTGTATGGTTTTGCGATGTTGTTGGATCAGCAGACGAAGATGATATAAGCAGCGGTGATGGATTACCTGTTAAACCACGTGTTGCCGAATGAACAGTGCGAGAATGGCGTCGAAGGCTATTCGAATGACGAAACGCTTTTCCACAATTATTACAATTGAATGGTTTGACACCAGTATGAATTCTAACCAGAACAAAAAATGAAATTAAAGAAGAATTCAACCGACAGATTTAAAATGACGCTAATAACCGGAATAAATGATGAAAAATGCTATTGAAATTAACTTACCGTAAATGACAACTTAAATTTCCTTGTTGTCCAAATCGTTTCGAACAGATGGGGCATTCAAACGGCTGCAAAAATAGTAGAAACAATGAAATGACAGATAGTCCACGGCTGTGGTTATTACTACAGTACCTTTTTCTTGCTATGTTCTCGCAAATGTAAATCGAGATCAGCAAATATAGGAAATACTTTGTCACAATGTTGACACTAAAAAAAAGGAAAACATTATTTGATAAACCCAAATTGTGTTTATACAAAAGTCCCCATTTTTATATTTTATTGAAAATACATCAAATTAGCAAAGAAACAGTCTCAATTTAATATTCCCATAAGACAGAACCTTAGAGATAAAATCAAAAAGTTTTTGATGATCCTACTTGAAAACCGGTATTTGTAAATTTTTGATTTCCATGTATGGTAGCAATATGTTTTTTCATATCAATATCTAATGAACCGCAAATCCAACATTGTTTATCATTTTTTGCATGACTCTGACAATGTAAAAGATGTTGTTTATCATTGAACAATACTTTTCCACATTCAGCGCAAGGGCGCGGATCGAGTTTACGTTGTTGACGATTTGCTGCACTATTGTTATCATTGCTATTTGGAGACAAACTTTCATTTGTTAACGAATGTCGGTGTTTTTCGGTTTTAATTTGTGCTGTTGATATTAAAGGTTCGACAAATGCTGCTCCAGAATCACTGTTATTCGTATAATCCAATCGATTGCTTTTATTTGAAACGCCAGTACTTTGACCAGATATTGATGGTCGAGCTCGCTTAGATGGACGTTGAGATAATGATGGTGAAGAAGTAGTAGAGGGAAATTTTCCTGAAGAATCATTCGTTGCTTTATCACTAAGATCTACAAAGAATAGTTAAAACAAGAATTTATTCAAGACCATTCAATTATAATTCTTACCATCGTTATGCTCTTTTTCATTATTTGGAATCATAAAACCAAGAAATTTATTAACATTATTTTCAGATGACGATTTCATCTAAAAACGAAGATAGCAGAGTACTTTAGCATTTCAATCAAGTTACACAATCAAGCAACACAATTAGTTACTTACAACTAAATTATGCACATCAGTTGTCGTGATACATTTTGACGGCGATAATGCCACTTGTTGAATACTTGAATGATTATTATTTTTCACTGTTAATTCAATTGGTTTATCATGTTTATTATTCGTCATGTTCATCATCGAATTTAATGAAATTGTCTGATGTTGCAGCAACTGGGATCGTTCAGTCGCTGATATGATAGCTGTTCGTTGTGGTGGTGTATCATTTTTATGCGACTTATTTTCGATTTCACCATTATTATCGGCTACAGTAGCTGATACGTCAAGTGTTATTGGTGTGACACTTGTGATTGTTTCAGTTGAATGCTCTCCCAAAAATAAATCAATTTGATTTTGATGATTATGTACATCATCGATAGGTGATATCTAAAAAAGTATAAGCCGATGATTAACAGATTAATAAGACGGCTGCAAGTAATAGGTATTACATATCCTAGTAACTTTATATCTTAATAAAGATTGACGCTTGCTAAACTATACAATATCTCGTTTTGCTCCTGAATCATCGTATTTTTTCAAGTTATGTCTAGAGTCTAGTTGATACTGCGACCAGCATGCAGTGAGAAAAATTAAGCAAACAAGACATGTTAGAAAATGGGATTCGTGAGAAAATGGATACGTTGATACTTACATTGCCAGTGCTATTGCGATGTTGTTGAAGACTATTGCTATTGAGATTTTTAGTGTTATTATCCATCAGGTCAAAAAATTTCTGATTTTTAATTGGACGTGATTTTCGTTTTCGTCCTTGACGTTGTTCAATAACTTGTTGAACAGAATTCAAATTGTTGGCTGTATTCGTAGTTGTTATTGCAGATGTAGACGGCAGTGGAGCATTACCAAGATCAATATTATGTGTAACGATTGGTGATATCGGTACACTTGTAGTACTAGTTTTAGGTGATAAAACTGACATTCGCTGTTGTTGTTGATAATATTGTGCAGCAAATGTGGCGGCAAATGGATCGGTAAGAATTTTAAATAATATATTTCTTTGTATATTAGCCACAAAAGCATCTGGCAAATTCGTTAATATTGATTCGACTGTTGGGGTTGTATCAGTTAATTGAGATCCGGTATCATGCATCATCTGTGCCAAATGTATCGATGATAATTGATTGTTATTGGTAATAGTGTTATTAATTGCGTCGTCATTACTGTTATTTGCTGTTTCATCCAATAAATTCATTGTACAACTAGCAATTTCATCTGTTTTACTATTAGATTGTGCTGATGCAATGGTTAAAAGACGTGCCGGCCCGGTAGATGAAGAGGATGCTGATGCATTGTTATTGACAAGTCCACCTGCAGTTGGGGGTGGAGTTTCTATTCGAAGAATATTGCTTTGTTGTTCTTCATGCAAAATTATCGGTTCTTCTTTACAATTGCAATTTGTTTTACAATGTGACGGAGACGAAGAAGTTGCTGTTGTTGATAATGATGATGTGAGTGACAAATGTAATGAACTAATAAGTCTTTCATCAACATGATTATTAAATAACAACGGTCTCGGTCGTTCAACATATCCGTTACTTTCTTCTTCATCTTCTAATTCTAAAACAGTAATGAATATTAAATAAAAGGGAAATAGAATAATAGAATGCGGTAAGGCCAACTGCTACATTTCATCTATAAAATTCATCTAGTACTAGACAGAAACAAAGGAATGATTGATTTAGTGGCGTCTTAGATTATCTTTTAATTTCTTTCATGTACATTCTCTTCCAGGCAGTGAAATGAATACAGCAACAATTTTCTTCACTCTGAATATTCCAGATAAAGTAAATAGAATATTTTCTTTAAAACTATATGGTAAAAAGAAAAACGAAGTATTGTATTTACCGTCTTCATCGATCTCATCTTCGATATCCTCGTCATCTTCTTCGTCCTCGATCTCGTCTTCAGTTTCATTACAATGATTTCTGTTTGAATGATTATTTTCAATTTTTTTGTTATAATCGGCTGTAGTTTTCGGTTTAGTACTGCTATTTATTTGTGATTGCTGTTGTCCAACACTTTTAATCTTTGTGCGCTGTAGTTTTTGTTGAAATGTAACCGATATGGAAGATGTTAATAAGCGATTTGATTTTTTTAATTTTGTTTTTAATTCATTTATTTGTTGACGTATATATCTTGTACAATGTTCTATATCTAATAGTGTACGGGAACAATCTGAGCATATCCAATGTGATTGATTTGGATTATTGACAGCTGTACGTGGTAAATTTGTACGTAAAAACCGTACAATTAAATCACGAAAACATATTGGCGTTGATGATGATGAATTGGTATTACTGTTTGTTGAACTGTTACGTTTAAAATATTTATAAATATGATAATGCTTCTGGCAACAAACTGATGAACGAAATAATGAACTAGAACGATGAAAATATGGATCTTTTAATAATGAAAAACAAACTCGACATCGATCACGTGTTTGAACGACTGTCATTGAACAACTTGAGTTCTTTCCTTATGTTAGAAATAGAAATAGTGTTGAACAGATGACGTAGAAAAATATGCACTGTTATACATCAAACACCAATAATATTTGTTTGTTTTACTGTTCTGAATGAATTTTAACAATATCTTGACTCTCTTAATTCATTTCATAACCGGACAACACAGGTACGAACAAATACACAAATATAATTAATTGTATTGGTACATAAGGAAACGGTTACATTAGGAAAACCGAATCTATCGTCTACTAAAACTAAACGTAATACTCAAATAAAATAATTAATGATCTGAAAAAGCAATACAGACATTGGCAGACATTCACGAGACAAATTAAGCAAAAGTGAAAACAATGGACAAAAAATACGATAGGTAAGAAATGCATATGGCTATGTAGTCTAAATAAAACCTTGACTCGATAACGGATAGCTCTAAACTGTTCTTCGTTGTGAAGCATTTGAATTGTATTACGTGAAGATGGGAAAAAGCACTAGCATCACTTATTACGACGTCAAAAATTACACTTAAAAAGCAAACGCATCCAATATCATAAATTACAGCGAACATCGAATCAAGAATATGTCTGCACGCAGATAAAAATCAGATAGAAGTTGTTCGTCTCTAATTTTAGAAGAAAGACAACTGAGTATTAGAGATATTAGTTGATCTCTTGCTCGGCATCATCGCATAATATTTACACTTAAAATATTCTGAACCGAAGATGATGGCGGTCTAAACTCTGTGGAAGTTTTCCACTTTAGACGATAATGACGTGAAATTTCACAAACTAAACACATGGTACAAAATATAAGAGCATAAAAAACACAACAATAAATACAAAGCAATAACATCAAACTAAGGTTCACAAAACGATATATAAGATACAATAGCAAATGACAACGACTAAACATTTAAATCCTACTACTGGACTTCTTTTTCGATTTCTTTTACAGAAGCGATGTTTCATGCTTCTCTTCACTGCAATCCTTTAATAAGATTAAGTTTAGCTTTCCGTTTCGATGATATAACATGAATAAAATTCTTTTAACAATATTACCATTTGCTACGTAACGATAAAGTGGATTATGTGGATGTAATTGAACAAATTCCGTACTTACACCCATTAAACCCGGCACTGCTGGTCTCACAATAGAGCCATAGTCGATAATAACCTGCAATTAGAAGACAAGTCATGATTCAGTAGTCAAAGGACATTTGAATTGTTTCAAAATGTCTCGTCACGAAAACAAATAAACAAAAGCTGAAAAGTGGTTTCTTCTCAATATAAAACATATGTGTACATTTTCTCCGGAACATAAGTTCAAGGTGTTCTGTAAAATCAAAATATTATATTCTTTCATCCATTGTCCATCTCGCACTTTCACTTCACGATATTTTGGAAGGTGAAGACGTAGGCTCGCCATTTCATATGCAGCAGTTGTGTAAAGGCTAAAAGAGAGAAAAATAATCAATGATAGAGTCGTATCACTCTTTTGCTCAACAATCATCAATTGGTTTAGAAATAATACCGAGTTTGTTGCTGACGTTAACCTTTTCCAAACCCTTAAAAATTGCAACCGATTCCATTTTCATGAATCCTTTAAACCTGTTGAAATAACACGAAGAACTTGTGAAAAAATATTTGTCGTTCAGCAAAGATGAATATTTTGTTCTGAAAAAGTAACGAATGAACGAACTTTATATTGCATATATTGATTGTTTTGTCAGGTAGAAAGAGTAGACCGATTGAGTCGATGATTGGACCATACAGCGAGAAAAAAAAGTGAGTTATACATTACAAAATACATTTATCATAATTGATTTTAATTTTTAATCAATTTACAATTTTTTTCTTCTCTTAATCTTTCTATATCAAACAGCCTTGTTTCGACCTCTAATGACCTTTAAATGAAGGTCATGAACATGTTAAAAAAAAGAGCTTTTCAGAATGAACAAAAGAGGTAGCAGAAAAAAGTTCTCGGATTTTTCATAACGAGAAAGGTGCAAATACATCATGTTCACTTCTGAATGGTGTAATAGAAGAACATGAAAGTTGTTGTAAAATACCCTTGAACAAATATGACGTTGATCGTTGATCAATGATAAATAACCTTGAACAATGTTTTACATTGAAGGATTACTGATGCCTCCATATCAGTGAACAGTGTGTTCAATACTATCGTTCAGAGGTTCAATATTCGTCTTGAAACAGCAGAATGACTAATTTTGTTTCTAACAGTGTGAGCGTTAACTATTACAATCTTTCTAAGATAAAAAACAGCCGAAAGTATATGGATCAAAATTATTGTGCAACTGCATAAATGAACAGATTTCTTTTCGCATATGATTAGGTGAATCTCACGCCGTTACGAAAATAGTAAAAATGGAAGATGAGAGGAGTATAGAAGGTTAAGATACGGTAGGACTGAAAGCTAGACTTAAATTGCCACAATCAACGTAAATTCACGATGACACTAGTGACTTAGATCTACCTTTCAGTCCTAGTGTATCTTGACCAGTAAAGAAAGAAAGATTCAAATGAGCCTATTCAATCCATAACAGATGTAGTTCAATTCAGGAACCGTTTTTCGGAGTGAATGGCCACTGCGTTTGTTATGATAAAGATGAACTAATAATGGTGAAACCTTTCGTGAAAGATACTATCGGAAAATTTTCACAATATGTTGCAAAATATGTTGTAAATGCTTTTTGTATTAAGCCATTTTATTTCATGATGTAAATATTTTACAGAGAGTTGTTAGGAAAAAACACAGATTGGATGCCATTAAGAATATTCTAGACTTTTTGTATATGCTATCAAGATTTTCGTTTCAGAAGGAGTATTGGATCAATACTTCCGTTTCATTACTGTATATATCATTCCTTCAATGCTATAAGTCCCTATTTGTTTGATTTATTCGTTTTAGATAAACTGTGCAATGACGGATGCAATTAGTCTTCTTCGTCAATTTACAGTTGAGAATAAAGAATATACCAGTGACAATGATCGATTTATTTTTGGTGATTTGGCTTATCCAAAAGATATCAAAACAAATTACCTTGTATATGGGTATTTATTGAACTGTTAGATTTTTGAATAGAACACTTTATATTGTGTTATTTTTTAGTACTGGGAAAGATGGAACACCACGAGATTATTATACGTTAGAAAGTATCGTATTTTTATTGAAAAATGTCGAACTTCAACATGCAAATTATGTTAAAACAGCAGCGGTAAGTGATTCGTTAGTCTTCGTCAAAAATTCTTAATCCTGGGATTTTTCTTTTAGGAGAAAGGAATATCAGCAATCAGTCGTCCTGATCGTAAAGAACTTTTGTCTTATCTAACTGGTCAAACAAATACGGCTGATCGTATTGATCGCAATGCTCCTATTGATGTTGTGGCTATGCAGCGACCTTTACAAGGTAATGTAATATTTAAATTCTTCGTTTGTCTTAATGATAGTTTTATTTTTTTTCTAGTAAAGCGCCCTGCAGAAGATCCTCGTTTAGATCCAACAAAAATTGCTCGTCTTGAAGATGATGATTTTCAAAAGCTTAAAGACCGTATAGAAAAGAAACTAGAGGCAACAACAAAAGAAATGACTGCTAATCAAATACGGTAATTACTTAAACAGAAATAGCTTCGTACAATTATGAATATCTTTTGGTGTAGACCTTTGTCTGGTGCATTATCTGCCGAAGCTATTTTAAAACTTCGTGCAAAATTCAGAGCAACCGCTCGTGATAAAATTGTTGATTTCAAAGGTAAAGAATTGAACGTAACCGCGTATAGAGCATGATAATTTGAACGTTTTGGTTTCAGAAAATGAGGACCAATTGGAAACAGTTGCTGAAACACAACCAGTTACAGCGGATACATTCGAAGTTTTACAACGTGAACGAACATGGAGAAATCGTACAACCGTTCTACAGAGTACAGGAAAAGTAAGTAATTTGTTTTAAAATGAATCCTTTCAAAAATGAAAGCGTTCGAATTCTATTCATGTTAAGCACTTAACATGACTACGATTCTAGGAGACGTGATAAAATTTCCTGATATATTTCTTCAGTTTAGAATTTTGCAAAAAATATATTTTTAATATTAAATTCAATTAAAGCAAAAGAAGAAGGAGAACAAAAACAAGAACTGTTGGCTGCCCAGAGATCTCCGACGCGTGATGTACATCAGCTGTTTCGTTCTCTATTTCTATATTAAAATTTTTTGGTTTGCTTTTTTAGTTAACCGTTCGTGCACCAGTTGAAGGTTATTCACGGTATAATCAAGAGCGATTTGTTCCAAGAGATGATACAGATGAATTCAAAATTGATATACATGGGTCATATCATGGTCTCACATTGAAAACTGTAACGGAAGGTGTTCAACCAAATAAGTTAACGGTATATAAATAATTTTTTGTTTATAGAATGAATTAAATTTTTTCTGATTTATTTAGTCTACGACAAATGTTGTACCAAAACCAATTCCTGACAAAGTTGATGTACCTGTTTCAAAACGTGTGTCTAGAACTCCAATTATCGTAATTCCTCCCGCATTGACATCGTTAATTACACGTTATAACTGTAAAGAACTGTTAGAAGACCTTAAGTAGGTTTAAAGTTCTCGTTGTGGTATATTGTGATTGAATATGTTTTGTATTCCACAGATATATTTCTACAGATGAAGGAAAAGCAAGTGGTATCAAACGTGACGGTGACATATTAATTCAACGAAAAAAAGGCAATTTAACTGTACCATATCGTATTACAGATGATCCAGTTCGTTTAACAAAACAGGACTGGTGAGTTTATGCTACCAATTTTGGTTAATCATTCTATAGCGTGATAGTTTTAATTTAGGGATGAACGTGTTGTTGCAGTTTTTGCACAAGGTCCGGCATGGCAATTTAAAGGATGGCCATGGAGTGGAAATCCTGTAGAAATATTTCAAAAAAGTACGAATTAAATCTATTTTATTTATTTTACTTATTGTTTCTCCTCATTCTAGTTAAAGCGTATCATGTTAAATGGTCACAGTTAAAAACCGATGCCAATATAGCTAAATGGTCCGTGCAATTAATTGAATTAGATCAAAATAAACGACATCTTGATTGTGCTCGACTGAGAACATTTTGGGATTCATTAGATGCTTTTATTGCAAAGCATAAACCATATCTACGTTATTAAACTGTCCTATTTTATTTTTGTTGTTCTATTGAACATTTTGAATTAAAGTTTATCTGATCATATGAGCATACGCCGTAACTATTTTACAATTATTGTTCAGTTAAATATGTGTTTTGAATAACCTAGACGACTCCGATGTGCACATAGATAAAGAGGAACATTTTGTCGTCGTCTTCTGCTTACTCATGTAGTTATTATCGTTAATTCCGTTTTGGTTCCTTTTGTGTTTATTTATGTGTTCTTTGTATATTAAGTTTTTCTCTTCTTTTCTCACAATAAATTGAGCAGACATAATAACACTCTTTACAAGGTTCAAAATCCCTTTTTGGATGACATACAGAAGAAAGACGTATGAAAAAATTAAATAACTGTCGACGAAAAAAAATCGATTGTATTCACATCTTTACCATACACAATAACTGCTATATTGATTAGTACAGATTCCGGAGCTAATTTAACCTTAAATATTTCAGTATAATCGACTAACTCATGTAAAAACGTTCCGTACAGTTAACTGTTGCTATCTAGCATAGAAAAAAACTCACATTATACATTTAAATCATTCCATGTATAAATACTAATGATAAAAAGGTTTAGACATGTGATCCGATGTTTCGTCCGTGTTTCTATGCGAACAAGAGCCTAAACAATATAAATCACCAGCTAATTATTTACGTGATCAGTCGTGTCAAAATTGATTGTAATGAAACACAGCAACTGATGAAGCTGATATAAATCAACACCGGATAGTATACAGGTTATGTTTTAGAGTGAGTGTACGATCCTCGTTAATATTGACTTAAAAATTACGAACAGAATTTAGAAAACTGATCCTTTTTCTTTTGTGCTACTCTGATTGTTCTCTGTTTTGATAAATAACGTTAAATTATGTGTGTGTATAAATAAGATGGAGAATGAGACTGAATTCATGAATCTTACATAAATAACATGCATTCACAAACATGACGAGATTTTGTGTGGTTTTTCTCTAAATTTTATCAACCGAGATTATGTTATCATGTACTGTTCTAAATTCATGTTCCTCAATTATTTCATTATGCAAAAGAAAAAATATGAAAAATGTTTTCACTGTCACCAGTCTCTTAAAAGTGCAGAGAAAATATATGAAATTGAGAATTTATGTGGTGTATGATTTGTGTAAAACTGGTGCGTGATGAGACAGAAAAGATGTGCTTATTCCCTGTACTTTTTCATTTTCCAGCAATACAAATTCGTATGATGACAGTTTTGAATTTAAATGAGAACTGAATGAAATTTCTATTGCTGTCTTCATTTTTTTAAGATCCATTAGAATTATGTGGTTAATAGGTGTTTTATACTCATTGGACAAGTGAATATTTTCTCCGAAAACATCAAAAGAGGGAGGGAATGAAATCTCATATTGTTTTGGTTTAAATTCTTTTATTTCCTGAATTTGAATTGTTAAAAAAGGAAAAAAGAAATGAAATAAGCACATGTTGCATATTATCTTAATCTATAACTTTTAATCTACTTTATGTTTGCAAAGATCGGATTCATTTCACTAAAAATCAGCTTAGCCAAATTTGTAAAATACCAGTATGAAACATCATACATTTATTTTACAATCTGTTAACTTTTATATGTAATAAACAGAATTCGATAGATTATTGACTACAAGAAGAAAAAATATATTTTAGTTACTGGTAGAAACAAGTGAATATGAGTTTTATTCGAACTAGCTATGATATTTGTGAATTATTTTTGAACAGATATTCGACAATAAAGTCAACAAGACCGACTACAAATAAAGAACTCATTTAAAACATAATCTTTATCCGTTTGTTTCTTTTCTTGTCATGGCGAATTAGACAATATTCTGAGCACAATGAAAAAAACTTGTATGAATGAATATTTATGAAATTGTTTAATGAAATGATCTTACCCATTAACGGTTTTGTCACTACGGGTAAAACGTGTGTCATTAGATAATTCCTTAATGGTGTCGACTGTATACCTAACATGTCTAATTCCTCATGTTTAATATGTTCTAATTTTGCAGTCTATATCAAAAGTTAGTGATTTACTTTTATTCTATGATAAGAACATTGATTTCTACAACAGACTATTATTGGCTCACGCTATTAGTTTAATATAAATAACTAGAATGAATGAGAAATAAAACAAAGTTTCATATGGCTTGCAATCAAGTTTTTGATTTTTTTATATTATGTCACATTTGTCATAAGCCGTCAAATTATATCTAATTTCAGACAGTTACTTTCTTACGAACATCTATTATAGTTCTAATTAGAACATTATACTTGCGCAGTTGTTAGAGACACTTGAATAAAGGTCAGTCATTTTTGAAATAGTAAGTAGTAATTATTAGTAGTTATTTGATTATATACAAACCAATTCTTTTTGTTTTTTCCCTCTTTCAAACGCTGTTTGTTGCTCATTACGATTATTTTTCTCGTTTTCTTCTCTTTCACATTTTAGTGTTTTCGTAATTTCTTTACGTTTCATTTCTTCAGGCTCTTCCGATGTTGGACCATGATTTCTTGATTTTCTAATTTTTTCCCATTATTTTTTTGACAGTATCACGGCGATTTAAACGATGATCATCACCGATTTCTAATAAGTGCAACAAGAAAAATTTTCTTGATAGTTATTTTCTCTTGTCTTAGTAATGTATTCCGGGGGACGAGAAACATCTTCAAAAAATTTCGCTGGATGCGTATCATCACTTATTTCATGATAGGCTTTTAATCGACGTTTAAATTCAAATTCGGTATTATGAGTTTCTGAAACAACTTTTTCTGATAAATGGATAATACGTTGACGAAGAAATTCATCTCATGCTTTCAAAACCATTATATATTCTAGAAAAAGATAAATCAAATAACTTAAATTATTATTATGTGTAAATGACAAACCTGGAATAATTTTTTCGTTTACTGGCAGTTTCTTGTCATCTCCTACTTCTTTATCTAAGAGAACTTTTATCAAATAAAACACTACCAATTTCGTAATTGTTGTTTTTCAATGTTTTCTTCTTCTGTCATGGATGAACCTTATTTTCACAAAAGATACCTAGTTCTAATACGAATAAAATGTGTTCATCGATTAAAATTTCGGTGGCAAGAATAAATGGCCATTAGATATAATTATTCATATGTGAACTCAGTTGTAACCTTCACAATAATACGTTTGTTTGTATTGAAATATTAATGACAATTTCCTAGTTTTTCTCACTGTCTAATCTCAAAAACTTTAGAAACGTAAAAACATATTACTTATTCATTTGGCGCCCACTAGATAGGACGCCACCTGTCATAGAGGAGTGCATTACTCAGACAATAGACTATTACTACATTTTTGGATTCTGTAGATACTATTTATGCGCGAAATTTTGGTCATTTAATGCTAGTAAAATATATAAAAACCCGCCGTCGCTCTTTTATCAGATTCGGCGCGTCTAATGGTTCGTTTCTAGTTCGAAGTAATGATACAAAACCTGTTGAAAGTTGTCGCTACGAACAGAGAAGATTTAATTTAGATGTTTCATTAGAATTCTCGTCAGAATACTTAGGTACGTGTTTTCTTATTGAATACACTTGCTTATAAACAAACTATATATTAGAATAAAATTGTGGTTCATTGAAAACAAGAAAACACGACCGAGAAAAGAGAGTGTTTCGTAAAAGTCTAATAAACTAGTCTTAATTTGTAAATAATCGAAAAAAAAAATACATGAAAAATTTCAGTTTATGTTGACGGTTGAAATGAATAGTCAAATTCCTGTACAAATGGTTTTGGTGGTGGTGGCACACGAAATTCACTTGGCTCTTCCATAGCCCGACGTTTATTTCTTCTATAAGCCATCTGCGGTCCGACACCTTTAGCAAATTTGATTGGCTCGATTCCCAGATCTTTAATTGTTGGTAAACCGGGTGTGATGATATCTGTTGTGTACATCTAAACCAAAAAAAGTTGTATAGGTTTTTGTACGAACAGTGACGCATAACGTACTCGTTGAAATTTGTCAATGTTGTATAAACTACGGTGTTTGAAATTATTAGCGAATGCTTTGAGGCTAAAAAAAACGGAAATCTATCGTATGCTGACATATATATCTGTAGAAAACTTACAGTACTTCCGGAGTTAAAGGTGTTATAAATGATTGTGGGCGTCGAAGATATTGCAGCATAAATTCTAATAATGCACGGAGTTTATAATGTTCTGGTCTACAAAAACAAAGAGAAAATCATAAATTCGTATTGAATGTGTATCCTTGATTCATTTTACCCGTATATTTCATATGTTTGACCAACAGACATTGGATCTCTTAAAGCAGCATAGATTGCTCTTGCCACATCGTTTATCTAAAAAATTTCAACAATCACATAAAAGCATAAGTATAGGTTCATCTTACATGAACAGGAGCTTTCACTGTTCTTTCACCACTTCCATAAAGTGGAAAACGGTAGTAGAACATAGAATGTGTCCCTATGAATAAAACATATTCGTTTAACTTGTCATTTTAGAATTTCTCCATTTCATCCGCTTACATGGAGATAACCAATAATTGACCCAATTATCACCTTCACCATAAATGTCAGAAGGACGAAGAATAGTGACTTCAGGAAATTCTTCTCGAACAGCTTGTTCACCATAGTACTAAATTGGTTTCATCGATTAAGAAGATTATTTTTTTAATTTCAATTAACAACAACTTACTTTTGCTTTTAACGATTTTGATCCATTACGAAATAGAATTGGTTGTGGATTCTCACTGGCATTCAAACATGAAATATGGATGAGTCGTTGAACACCACATTCTCGCGCTAAACGGGCAATTGTACGAGGTATTTTAACATAAATATCATCAAATGAAAAATTTCTAGAAAAACAAGTACACTGATGAGAAACGGTCAGTGATGAAAATTAAGAAAAGTGTACGTACCGGGTTTCATTAGCGCGACCGATTGCATTTATAACAACATTTGAATACATCAATGCTTTACGAATAGAATTTTCGTCCTTACTATAATATGGCTAAAACAGAAATACAAATAATCAATGAAACGAGTAAAATACACCTACTTTTACAAATTTTGTATCTTGCACTTTAGTCTTACTCTCAGATAACTAGATATAATCTATTATGCACAAACTGAAGTTATTCCCATGAGCCTCATAGATATAGGATTTAGGAAATTTTTAAATAGATACAACATTTGAAAAGTGAATAATCAATGACTTGAACACGTACTGTAAATAAAATCTGACCCAAATCTCCTAGTAATCTTAAATCTCGTAGATTGTATGGATCGTCGCGATATGGAACAATAATTTGACTACCTTCTTTGGCTAAAGTAAAATGAAAAATATATTGAATAGAAAACGGGTTTTTCAATAAAAGTTGTACGAAAGAAAACAATGAACATAATTGCTAAAGATTAATACTTTTGAAGAAATAAATTTCCTATATACTGAGCCGTATATAAGACAAATAGCAAGCGCCATGTGTCCCAATAACTGGTAGAAAAACATTTGTTCCACCAAAACAGCATTTCACTGGAAAATGGGCCTTAGTATAACGAAATTTTTATTTAAATTACTCTAGAAAGAAACACCAAAAATACGGATACTTACCCAGTTGACCAAGAGCAGCTTTACCAACGAATCCTGATGCACCGAAGATTGTTGCACAAATACCGGAAAATGATGAACGTCCACCTCCGCCTCGTTTCATATCAGTCAAACGCAATGATTTCACTTCATTCAAACCCATATTGATTGGTAAACTATCTCCTGTATAATTAATTGATGGTGCTCTGACTGGTGCGTTAACTACATTTGTTGAAGTAGCTGCGGATGACGACGTAGTAGATGCTTGTAAACGATCAATGTTTATTATCGAATAATTAACAGCAGTCAAACACCGCATTTCTAAAAACCAAGCAAAAACTTTGAATTAATTTTGTATATATAATGATTTGTCAACATACTTTTTAACGAACGACGCGTAGTCTGCAGCGCAGACATTTTTTTGCTACCGGATGCTTTTCCTAATCTAAATAAATCTACAAATCAATACGAATGTAAACGAGAGGCAAAATAAAAACAGTATTTGCATTTTATAAGTTTAAAAGTTCAATATCTCTGAAGACATCAATAAAACAACTACAATAAACATGTTTGTACACGAAGCTCGCATATTGGTTTTGAACGAATCAAGGCAGTCTCATTAGTATTAATATTTTAGTGCTAAGGTTCAATGTAATCAAGTACGCGAAGGCACTGATGTAAATATGTATGTGAATTTAACACAATAAATCCCGATCCATCATTTTTTCATCTTTGAAATATGCCAAAGAAGTAATATTGCTTACAGATCAAATTTTGAATAGTTTATCCATGCGAATAAGAGAATTAAAAATCAAGAGAGATAATCTTGGCTTACATTTGTAAAACCACTCTAATTATGAGCGACAGCCATGAGTCTTTGAGAAAGTGATAATAACTAAAACATTACTAGGGATAAAAAAAAGCAAACAACCTCTTTGGAAACACCAAAGTCCACAAAATACCCTCGACCAATAAAAAAATTGATTAAAACCTCTAAACAGACATGTCGCTGAACATATGTTTTACACACATTTTTCTCTGTGCAGCGTGTAAAATACCTGCGATAGAAACAATAAGAATATCTGTAACTTACTGTTCTTAGGTGACCGACATAATTATTGTTGATACTACTCATTATAAATCCAAAAGTAATTCAAAATTCTTTTTGGTTGGTAGTTTCATTGAACTATATGTAATTAACCGCGGCACATCCGATGGGCATGTGAAGATGCATGTATCCACTCAAGCAAGGGTTTCGATCATTTTTCTCACATACAAATAATTAGACTTATTTTATTCACTCGCGTCTTATCTGAGATCTCGAGAAAATTTGAATGAAGCTTTGGAAAACGCTCCGGTATAGATATAAGATATTTTTTCTCTATGGCTAAAACTTATCTTATGTTAAAGCGGACGGACTCTTAATAATATATAAATTAGTAAAAAAATCAAAAAAAACGAATTTTTTGACTTTTGAAGTAATGGGTGTAACCTTAAAAGCGAAACCACTAATAAGATTTGTGAGAAATTAAATTAAGATCTGATATGCATGTAAACAAAACTTAACAGTTCAGGTTATAATAGAGTATAAGCGGCTTGTAGATTAGTACCTATTTTCTGCTGCTCTTATTTGTCATTTAAGAAAAATCACGCAAAATTAGAACACATTGTTCTTTACTCCTGAGTTCGACGCTGTTTTCAAAGTTGTGTATTGATTGTCTATTGACGATGATAAAAACAAATAATAATTGAGGACAAAAATGAATATTTAACAACTAGTATTATTATCATTTTTGATCATGAAATCTTAGAAATTACTCTTTTTAAGAAATATTCGAGTTTTTTCTTTAAATTTTTGTTTTTAAATTTTCCTAAACGTATTGATGTTTGGTTCGAATACAAGAAATTCGTCTTAGTCGTAGGTAAATTATGTCTAAAATAATCAAACTTGATCGTAGATAAAAAAAAGTTTTTTTAGCACTTTTTATTTGTAGAGGTCATTTAGATGCAGAAGAAACGTCAAAAAAATATTTGAAAACTTTCTAGTAATAGCATCTGCTTTTATCCCTCTTTTTGATTTTTTATTATTCTACGAACGAAACCCTATTTTTTCATAGTTGGACTCTCGTTACACTAAATATTAGCCAACTGTAAAAAAAAAGATTCTATCATTAGCAACATCTAGTAATAGATAGATCACAAGAAACAGTGCACGAAGTCAATACATAAGTACCCAAAAATATTCACCAAAGAAACGTATATATATATATATATATATATACATATACGTTCAATACAAAAATTGTTTGCAGAGAAAAATAAAATAAAGCTTAAAAAAATCCATATTTTATTGAGTTTTAAACAACATTATGTGCCGGTATATGTAAATTTCTGTTTTGTTGAAACAACACATTGACATAAAAGAACCAACGATAGTGGAAAATGAAAAAAAGTGATATATAAAACATACTCACTGTTCTTCGACAAAAAATAAATACTGGATGAGATTAAACCGATGAAAAGAAAAAAGAATGTACAATCTTTAGATGGTTGAACAACAACACGAACATGACTTAGAAAAATAGTACTATGATTTTCTTTCTTTTTTTTTTTGTTTTTATTTTTTTTTGGTATAAATTTTATAACAAATATCTGCTTTTTAAAAACAACAACAAGAGACATATAACGTATACGGCATTTTTAACAAAAGAACTAGAGACAATGAACAAGAGATTGTCATACAAAAATAGTGAAGAGAATAACTTTTTTAAAAAAAAAAGAAATATCAAGAATTTTTAAACGTCCTTGCATATTCACTAAGCGCTTGATATAAAAATTGATATTGTTCATTCGTCTGTATCATACCACCACTGAAAATAAGGCAAGAGTTTGAATAAAAGTATAAATAAATTCATGAAGATATTCTTACCGATCCCTTCTTAACTGGCATAGTATTTTCACAACATCAACAACGTTCTCTTTATTCAATTGTTTTATACCATTGGCAAGTGCAATAAAACATCCAGTACGACCAATTCCCGCACTAAAATAGAAAGTAAATGATATATATATATATATAGTTATTATTTTTCTTCGATGTATACACATACCTGCAGTGAACAACAACTGGACCTTTGGCTTTACTCGTTTCTGAATCAAGACGACTAGCTTCAACAATTTTAACAAGATCAATTAAAGAATAGGGTAGATCGGGTGTACTATGATCAGGCCATCCAGAAAACCACAAATGTTGAACTTCACGTGTCTGATTTTCAAACTAAAAAAACATAAATTATAGAATAAAAAGATATGTATAACTGATGAAAAATAAAATATTCTTACTTCTATGCATAAGTGTCGTATTTCAAAATCTGTTTCATGTGATATTGAAAGAACGGTGATATGAAATGGACCGTAGGTAGAGCCTCGATCATCAGGTAGATATCGTTCACATTTTGACTAAAAAGATAAAACATTCATTTAAACATGAGTACAACAATTTTTTCTAGAAAAATTTACCTTATTCTTTTCATATAATTTCGTAATCATTACAATTACGGGTACATTCTCTTGCCAAATCATCCTCCAAAAATCAATTATTGTATTGGACATTGGCCCTTGTGTCGCAATAAATGCTCGATATTCATTATCATATCCCTGAAGAAAAAAACCGTATCACATTTACTCAATTGAAAAGAAAATTGTTCAAATAATAAACGTCAACAGTCTGCTGATAAAAACAAAACAAAAAATAACAATAAACTTCTTACATGAACATAATTGGCGTTAATGTAAGATGAAACGGGATCACCGGGTAATTCAGATAATTTAACGCGTGAATGTTCATCTAAAAATGAATAAAATCAGTGTTCAGTTAAAAAAGAAAGAAATTTGTTTTAGTAGTTTACTTGGAATAATTGTTCCATATCTATTTTTCATACCAGCTCCGCAAATACGTAATTTTTCTAAATGATTTGTTGGTATTGTCTAGGATCAGAAACAAAATTAGAACTCATTTTTGTCAGTGATATAATTAAAAAATTTACCCAAAATTCATGATAAAGTAGTCTAGCATCTTGTGCATGTTTATGAAATTCGTCGAGTGTTAATCGTCTTGTTGCTGTTGATAAATATTCATCAGCAGGACTAAGTAGAAAAATGAGAACATCGATAAAAATTTTTAATACAATTTGATTCTTGTCATTTTTCAGATGACCAATGACTCAAGTGATCCGTCAAATAATCAGTTTTTCTCGCTTTTTTACATTGTTAGGAAAAAAATATCGTTGTATATGAAGAAAATACACATTTACCAATCTGTTGGTGGACTGTTGTATGGACGTTTTGGTGTAATAGAAATTGTTAATGAGTTATTTGATCCTCTTCTAAATAAAAATAATAAATAACATGTTTGTTTCGTTTTTATGAATGAATGCAATGCACAAAGAGTAAATTTTTCTCTATTTCAAATTATACGAACAGAGAGCTCTATCATATTAACATTTTCTTGATTAAAACTTTTTCAATGTATCTATCTCTTAGAAATAAAAACGCAATCTGTCTAAAGATAGATTAGGTAGATAAAGGATAATCACATTATCATTTCTTAATCTGAATTTTTTGTTTTTTACTCTAGTAGCTCGGTATAAATTGTGTAGACTACAAGTGTTCAATAACCTTGCAAAATTATTTAATTAAAATTATTTATTTTGTTAACTCTTTACTCCCGAATGTTCATAGACTTAGACATTAGCGAGATATCATAGAATTACTATAACAAGATGACAATGGATCAAATCAAAAAATGGATTTTTTTCTAGAGTAACTTGACACCATAAGCTTATCATTGCTAACAAGAAAAATATTTTTTCTTAGAGTATAAACAGAGTTATGATAGTTTCAAATTCATTTTGCAAGATTAGCTGGTAGGGGTAAAATCTATTGTCTACAGAAGAACTAAATCAGTAGTAGAATCACTCGATAAATCAGAAAATGATTTGAACTAAAAATTATTTTTCAATTTTTGATTTTATTTACGTTACCTTCGTCTATATAAGCGTGATGGTTGATTCGATAGCGGTTGTTTTAGTTCGATTGTCATCATTAAATAATTATAACTACCACCTGTTCATATTACACTCAAACGATTATATTATCAGTATCACGAAAACAATTTTGTTTAAGATAATATACGTCATTTATTTATACACTATAATTACTCATTTTACAACAGACTCTACTTTCTCTATCTTTCCCTTATTTTCTAATCTAAACATTGCAAAAGAAAAATAGAGTGAAGAAGTAATAATGCAACAACATTGAAGAAAAAAAAAAGAAATGAAACATTTTTTTTTTTTTTTTTGCTTTGAATACTATGATATATCAGAGATATGGAATAGAAATCAACAATCAATTATCAAACATAACTGTAAGAAAATTTTTTCATTTTGATAGTAATGTTTTTTTGTTTGCAATGCCAGCAATAATAATAATATAAACCGCATTTATTCACTCATGGACAAAACAAAAATAACAGCCTACACAGAAGTTAAAAGCCAACATATGTAAAATTACAGGTGGGAAGTTGATGTTTTTTAGAACTCAACAGAATTTTCATAATATTATTCATTCATTCTGCGAATACACCCTGTTACTTTAAATTATTAAAAAAAAATCTCTTCTTTAAGAGTGTCATTGTTTGAAGTTCATCTTCTTCGGCATAATAGCTGATAAAATTGTGTATTTAGTAATCAGTCTTATTCAATTTGATCAGCTAAGTATTTTTCTTTATAGTAACATTGCATTTAAACAATATTTTTTTAAAATGTTATTTTACACTCATCACTTATTTTGCGATACAATACAACAATGAGAAAAATTGTCATATATCAAACGAACGCATTTTCAATTCTATATAATTCTCGACTGATCAGACAGTCTCCATAATTCTTTGTTACTGAAATGGGAAAGACATTCAAAGTTCCTATAAGACGATACAAATATAATAAAAAATGCGCTTTTCTACGTTATTGCAGATAAGAGAAATCTTAGCGTATACCTTACAATGGTACCTGACAATACGAGAATGAAAAAAAATTTTTTGTAACTGGTAAAGTCTCTTCTTTTTAAAGTATAATTATTTGTTTTCATAAACATATGATCGATTCACAAATCATTTCAAATTGTAGAACATTTCGTCGGCATTCTCACTATATCTAACTTACAAAAGAAAAATTAATGCGAGAAGAAAGAAAACGTTAATTTTGAGCACTGACTCATTTTTAGCCTTGAGAAGATTTCATTTACGTATCGAATGAATGTTTTTATTTAGTTTTTAATATACAAATTTTTGAAATTGACGTTGTTTGTTGTTAAATAATCATGCGTATTATGTACTGAAAATAATTTGAGAAAGAAAAGCTTAAATATACTTTCAGTACTTTTCACATAACGTTTGAAACATGTTTACATGTGTCATCGTCATTGTTCCACTTTTTTCTTTTTGATTTCATTCCTATTGTTCTCTAATGAAGTCTAAAAACCATAATACCGCATATATGTATATTGTTTGGTAAGACAAAAGACAGAGAAAGAAAAGAAACCTTTCACATTTCTATTAGAAAGACCAAAAACCCACCGCACAGATAACAGGACCTGAAATAAGAATTTATAAGGATGAGAGAGAGAGAGAAAGCGAGATCTTTTAAAATTCTTTAAGATTTTGTAACACACTTGTATTCATTCTTAGACAAGCATGTTTATTCGTTTTAACAGAGATCATATGTGGTGGTAATTTTTGGATGAAAATGTATTTTATTCTAAAAACAAAAAAAATATTTGTTTTATCGCGAATCAAACGTGAGAAAAGGCGTAGATGTACAACTTCTGTTTTTTTCCTTCATGTTCTAGAGTATTTAAATTTACGCACTTTAAATAACAAGTTGAAGCATATAAATCTTATTTTAATTAAAAAAAATAAACATTGATCTGATTTAATATACATATTCACAATTTTTGTTGACAATGTATTGATGCCTAAATTGTATTTCACTAAATAATGTCAATTTTATTATCATAGGTAATAATTCAGGAGAATATTCTAAAATTGATCTAATTAACCTAATGAAAACATCCTCCTTAACAAACGTTGTATCTTTCCAAAATATTTCTTCTATTGAAAACCTGTAGAAAATGTCAATCAGTTATTAATTATATCTTAAAAGAATCGGTGACTTTACGGCTATCTACAAGAATACCTATAGTAATTTGCTATTAAAATCGTCAATTTCATCACTAGGATGAATACACTTCTTAAACAACTTTAAAATAGTCAAGTACAATAGCACGGCTTAAAGTTTTTTTGTGCCCGATCTGGGTACAAAAAAATCTTTTTACACTTTTGTGTCCGAAGACAGATATGTGCCCGGATTTGATTGATTTGTATCCGGTTTTAATTAGATTAGGAATAATAATGAGAAAGGTTATTATCACCATTTATTTACTGACATAGTGGCAGAAACAGACAGAACAGAGGGAATATGTAAACATAACAGCTAAACACGGGACAACGCATTTCCTACTTTTCTTAGTCTTCCGATTATCATGATTATGTTCACTAGACGTTGAAACAGCAATTTTTTTATCATTGTAACAGATCACACGAATTTGAAAATCGCATTCAGGATACTTTCTAGCTTGGGTACATCGATATGTTACTTTTTTTCCAAGAGCTACTGTTTCGATTCGTTTTATTAAAACATTATTTTGTTTTATAAATGATTTCATATCATTCTCATCAGAAAATTCCTCTACAAAATTCCACTCTCTCCCAGTCATAGTTTAAAGTAAGTTTTAGTTGAAAGTTTCTTTCTGAATTCATAAATGCATGATATATCAATCAAATTTACGAAAAAGATCCTTGATCAACATTGCCGGTCTGTGAATACTGTATAGTAGTACTTTATGCATCTTGTACATAAACATATAGACGTATGTCACAAGAGATATCTGTCAAGATAACTTATGGTCTACTATTATATTGTCTGACACACAAACCGGGCACAAATCAATCAAATCCGGACACATACCTGTCTCCGGGCACAAAAGTGTAAAAAGATTTTTTTGTACCCGAGCCGGACACAAAAAGTCTTAAACAGGCACAAATCTGTCTTAATTCTGGGCACAAAAAAAATCTTCGTCCCAATGGCACATCTAATATGTTAAAAATCATCAGATGTTTGACGTATTATAAAATGATCACGGGCAGTATATACAAATATGTTTATCAAAAAACGAACACTTTTAGTTTTGATATGATGCGAATAAATAATTGTGTGCAAACAAAAAAAAATTTAGACTATTGAAGAAAATCTGTACATACCTTTCAAGTAAATTTTTCTTTAGTAATTTTTTAGCCATATTTGATGATGCCGATGAACTATTATCCGAAAACGGTTGAACATGAGTGCCTTGTCCAAGTTTCGGCAATATTGGATATAATACGATTTCTTTTGGTCTTGTTGCCGTTGATCCATTAATTCCTTCCTTATTAGTTGTTGATAATGGTAATGATGTTGTTGGTATTTGTTTAAATGACAATTTTTTTGATGATCCTCTTTTTACTGATGGTAATGTTGATTTACGTTGTTTTGAACACCAATAAACCTAAAATATTAATAAAAATTAGTTTTTGTATACATATTCTCTAATTGTACTGTTTACCACTGCGAATAATGTCACACAAGCAAATAAAGCAACACTGCCCAATGAGAACAGAATAAAATTTTTTGCCCAAAATGATACATGTTCCTGTTGTGAGTTAGACTAAAATAAAAATAAAACAAAAAAAAAATAATATAATCAATAATTTTAATAATGATAATTTACAAATTAGACTACCGTGGTCATACAAAAAACGTTATAATTTTCTATAAATAATTCTAGATGTTCCGTTTATCTGATATTTGACTATTTAACTGTTATTGTCATTACATTTTTCTTCTTTTTTTTCTTCTCTACTTATTCTTACTATTACTAATATGCTTGAATAGATGATCATATTTCAATTTTAATATAAAAAAGAAACCTGATGTACATGCTTGTTTGTTCGATTCGCATCGTTCATATTTTTCTTCCCCCTGTTTTTCTTTTTCTCGTTTATTATGTGGAAAAATTACTTAGTTGTCACTTCCATTTTTTTTTCTTATTTAGTTTCGAGTTTCACTGAATTTTTTTTTCTTGCTAGATATAAGATGACTGATTCAGAATATAAGAGATATTTATAAATCGAACAAAAAATTAGGCTCAATTTAATGAAGAAAGACATATTTGTCTAACTAAGATAAATTAACGTTTCCATAATTAATCAGAATTAAAAGAATTCATTACGGTTATTTTTATTAAGAAAAGATGTTTAAGTTTTGAAATAGTAGTCATTTAATATAATAACATCGTGTTTAAAATCAAAAATCATCGAATTATATTTTTCTCACAACTGTCAACTAAAATTGTGTGAATAAAACAGACATAAATTAATAAAAACAATGTATTCTTAGAGATTTTTTCAGTTTTCTTTGTCGTGTGTATCAAGATGTAGCAATCTTGACAGTGTTAATACTATCGAAAATTTTCTATATTAATTCATCAAACTAATTCATCAAACTAGAAAAAATAATTCAACTACTATAACAATGTGAATAAAAGAAGTAGATAAAAGTAGTGTTCAAAAGAAATTTTCTTTTATACTTTTATGTTATAAATAATTAAGCAAAAAATTTTTAATTCAATTACTTTTCGTCAAGAATGTTAAGTAAATATTGTTATAAATAATCTAAATTATCTCATATAGAAATAAATAGCAGTGAAAAAGTGAATAAAAATTTGTTTGAGTTTCTAAAAATTATCAAATTTAACTATTGTCTTTCTGAAATGACACTTGTGTAACAAATCAAAGAAAAAAAAAGTTGATTGAGTTTTTCTCATTACATTTTCCTACTAAATTTATAATTATTCAAACAAATGTTCACCCACGCGATATTTTATCAAAATTCTACATCTTGGTAAAATTACGGTTATTGATCTTATCACATTATTCATGGAACATTCACTCATTTACAACTTTTATAATTTAACAGTTTCTTTTGTTGACGAAAGAAAGTTATAGAGATATAAAAGCGATAGTAATCTTTACCATTATTATATATATATGAGAGAAACGTAACTTTCTAGTACAATCACTTGTTTAGATATGTTTCTATAATAACTCAGATTACAAGAGGCTCGCTTGAGTAAATTTTTTCCTGTGCTTTGCCTAGTACTTTGTCCACTTCCACAAAAATTTTCTACTCGATACGTCCTTTCGTTGCAAAGTTATGGGACTCGAAAGTTGAAAAAACTTAATTTTCTGATGACTCATCATCTGAAAACTGAATTTTTGATTATATA